GTATTTTTCACGCCTAACATTAATAAAAGATCTTTATTTAACTTAACGGTATTACCTTTAACTTACTACTCTTTAATGCTCTTTAGCTTTAATAAACTTAGTAAGAATTAGCCAACTTATTGTCGCTACCTTTAATTTACTACCTTTAACTTATTTATATACTACCTTTAACTTACTACCTTTAACTTACTACCTTTAACTTACTACCTTTGACTTACTTACTACCTTTAACTAACTTACTACCTTTAACTAACTTACTACCTTTAACTTGTTACTGCTACTTTTAGCTTATACTTTTAATTTAGTACCCTTAATTTTGAATCAAATACGCTTACAAAATATAGCCAATAACCAGAGCAAAGATATTTCTAGCAGTAAAATAAATTCTCTCTGCTATCTAGTAATAAAAACACAATCCTAGCAACTGCAATAAAAACTAGTAATAGCAAAGAATAGTGACGAGCAAAGTATAATAACAAAACAACATGGGTTTTAAAAACGAAGTAATGTTTAAACCTCTTAATTTAATCTGAATATATTGATTATGACTCTAGCATCGCCAACCTAGAAAAATTCACTTAGCGAAGTTTTTTAGGTTGGTAATGCTAGAGGATTTGCGATAGTATCTTATTTCTTATACTTACATCTTTTAATCCAAAAAATAGATGGTGCATAATGAAAGTACATCCAATTTCAAAGACCTCGGTAAGCTTGAGTTTGGTGAATCAACACATGGTCTTAAGTCTGATGAGCCGATATATGATCTTGAATTTAATAGACCAACGTATGATTCAGTAGTTGTTGTTCAAGAAAATAAAGATGTCAGATTAGACTGTTCCAAAGAGAAGTTATACAAAGGAATGGTATTTAAAAGTTGGGAAGAAGCATCTGACACGTTAAAACTATATTCTCAATATGAAGGGTTTAAGCTAAGAAAAGAACGTGTTGAAAAGACTTCTGATGGAACTATACGAAAAAGAACAATATTGTGTGAACACAGCGGTGAATATAAATCTAAAAACATGCAATTGACTAAAGAAACAAGCACAAAATATATCAAATTAAAGTTATAATCAAAATAATACACTTCTCTCCTTGACGATCACTTATACCAACTAGTCTCTAAAAGCAA